AAAATAAATGAGTAATTGTGCATGAACCGGGAAGTGAACGACTGCCAAATACCCTGGATTGCGAGTGCCAAGTGAAAGTCAACTAAAGTTCGTTCTAGTTCTTTACTTTCAGCTCTAGGGGCATATGAGTTTTGTATGGAACTTACAGAAATTATTTTTTATACTTTTAACTTAGGAAATCGGAATACCTCTTCTCATAGAAGCTTTGGAAATCGAAACTCTAAAACTCTCGTAACTTCTCATATACCGGGTATTTAGCAGTCGGAGACTCCCAGATGGCGGATCAAGCTCTCACTTCTTGTCTTATACTTTTCAAGTATATAACTCTAAACTAGCCCATAGTTTCACGGCTATGCCAGGCACAATATTTCTGGAGTATTTCCCAAAAGACAAGAATTTAACAACAAAAAATTCTGCAATGAAAAGCAGAAAAATTTCCAGATTGTAAAAGTCAGACGAGAGCAACTGCTGCTAACAAAGTGAAAAGTGAAAAGTGAAAAGCGTTATTTATTTGCGTCTGCATGACATAAATTGTGATTTAATTTGTGTAATTTTAATAGCAATCGCAAATGTGCCAGGCGACAACAACAACAACAACTACAACAACAACAAGACTCAAAGAGACAAACGCGCGGAGCCATTAAATGAAGTAAAATTGTGAATTAAGATGGCAGCGACCCTTGCAGTAGTGAAACGATATGTTCTATTTATTGTTCAGCTTTCACTTTATATTAGCTAATCTACACACACACACACAAACACACGCATACACTAAGGCTTAGCAATCTATTTGGTCTAACTTTATAGCAAGAGATTTGTTGTCAAAGAAATGAGATAATTGAGAATTGTTATCAATAGATTCATGGCGACTGCCTTTTGATACCCTGCACACATTGAGAGTGAGAATTTGGGGCATGCTGGTGGTGTGACAATGTAGGTGATAGGCATTAGGAGGCGTGGCAGATGCCAAAATACATACGTGGTCTTTGATATGGGCGAATAGCTGAGTCGATACTTATCGATATATATCGGATTGTCCAGCTGTCCGTTCATTCGTCTCTAGAGTCTAGACCCGTTCAATCTGAGAATCAGTATCTTGAAATCTTAATGCATAATCACAAAAATCACTTTTCGCCATTATCGATAATAATCGATAAACGTATTTTAGTAACTAGAAACTTGTGCGTTACATCCAAATGTTTTACTAGTAAACTCAATCCACCTCTATTATTATAGTTTAGTTTTTTTTTTTTTTAAGTTTTTTAGTAAAGCCTATCTCTATGCACATATGTGTGTGCATAGAGAAATACTTATAAAGCTCAGGGCTCAGGGTATCTGCCAGTCGGTCATCTTCGCACCTTTCTTGTTGTTATTGTTATTAAAGTGTCATTTCGGTTTCAGTTCAGGCACAAGCACAAAAATAAACAAATCAATTTAATTCCACTGTAAATACATTTCAAATTTATTTCACAAAATGTCTTGCGTGGGTATGTCTAAATATAGCTCTATTTATTATGTATTTTATCATTTTATTCTTCACAAGCAACTAGGTATTTAGTTAAGAAGAGGAAGAAGAAATTCGGTTGAATACGCAGTCAATATGGGATTTCCATCTGATTTCCGCCGTATCCTTAAACAAAGATAGAGTTACGCTAGCATAAAGAGCTTAGTTCGGCATTTGGAAGTATTATTTCATCTTCTTCTGTGCGGAACTGTATTATTTGATTCGATGCGATATACTTTAAAGCTCAGCCGCAGCAATCATCTTGACTTTTTCTTCTCAAAGACATTAAGGCAGATAAAGGGACAGAGGTCTCTATCTGTCTTGTCTCTGTCTCTCTCTCCCTCTCTCTATCCATCTCTCTCTCTCTCTATCCATCTCTCTCTCTCTCTCTTTCTGCCACTCTCTCTCTCTCTCTCTCTCTCTCTCTCTCTCTGTATCCCCTTCTCTCACTCTATCCCTCTCTCTCTCCATCCCTATTTCTAATTACCTGTCTCTCTCATTCTCTGCCTTACCCTTACTGTCTCTGTTGCTCTTCACCTCTTTCTCCCTTCTTCTTTCGTTCTTTTTTTTTCTCTCTTTCTGCCTCTCTCTCTCTCTCTCTCTTACTGTCTCTCTCTCTCTCTCTCACTGTCTGTCTCTCACTTTCTCTTGCACTGACTCAGTCACTGTCTCTCTCTCTCTCTCTCTCTTTTTAGCTGTTTCTCTCCCTGTCACTCCCTTTCTTCTTTTCCTTTCACTGAATCGTTTCAAACTGTTTCTATCGCAGTAATTTTGTCCTCTCTCTCTCTCCCATTCTCATTATTTCCTTCTCTTTTCCTGTTCCTCTTTCTCTTTCTTTTTCTCTTTCCCTTCCCACCCCCTTCTATCTGTCCCCTACTTTCTCTCTTTCACTTTATACTCTCATTTATATAACCTGTACTCCGTCGTTGTCCATCTGTAAGCACGTCAATCACTCTGCCTATCTCTGTCCCTTTAGCAATGTATCTATCTCTGTCTGTGTCTGAGACCAGCTTTGTGTCTGCCGCTTTATGAATGCTTCAATGAATCCCGTGAACTTTAAAGAGGACTAGAAATTCATACTTGACTTCTGTAGTAGAATATAATACTCTCTGATCGTGGCCTGAGTGACACCTAGTCGTGCACTCCCCACTGGACCACTCTCCGTGTTTGTTGCTTACATCTAAATCTCATTAAATCTGATTTACCTCCTCGTAACACCGGCCCATGCGAATGTTAATAGTAGAGGATTTCACTTTCGCCCTTTAATGCTCAACTTTTCCTTTGATATTCTAATATTTACACAAATATGGATATATACATATATAGATGTATGTAGTAGGTATATGTATATATAGATATTCTAATAAACATATTTTGTGCCATAATTATTTTACGCCCACGTTCAACAATTTCAAATTGTCAGCTTTTGTAGTGGAAAGCAATAAATGTTAGATATTTATATACGCATATATAATGTATATATATATATATATAGTTATACACATAAATAAATATAGAAGTTGATGAAAGTTCAGTTGGTTGATGTCTCACTTGTTCTTAACATGCAGGAAAAAAGAAACTTTGCTGATTTCGTATGTATAGCACAAACTGTGAACAGTTTTCTGTATGCGATTTGCATACACTGTTTGCATAGTAATTAAGAGCATATTAGTTTTAGAATGCTCTCAAGAATTGCTCGTGGGAATGCTAATAATTGGGCATAGATAAACTAAATGAACTCATATCAGCTCATTCTCCTTCAATTTATTCCTTTTAACAGTGTATTCTGCAGTCTGTGACACCCGACCTGCCGCTGTCATTTGCTATTTACTAACTGAAACTGTAGCTGGCAGCATACAAGTTTTCATGGTCGCATTTTGTAATGGAAGCGCCGCTGCGCTGCCCCCTTCACAAATGATGAGAACTTCAATTGAAGCATATGCGCTTTATTGACCAACTTTTCGCACAGTCTCAGCCACAGCCACAGCCACAGCCGCTGTCGCAGATGTTACTAAGTGTGCGACAGCCAGTCACTGCCAATGTATCCTTATACATATATTCATAATTTTTTATTAAACTGTCCAAATATCTAAGAAAAAATATATATAAATAAAAACGCTTTCGGCTGGGCGATAAATTTGAAATTTGAAATTTGACAGTTGTCTTCCAAGTGTCGGCAGCTGGCAGCTGCCAAATTGATGCAAGATAAATTAAATATAGTTTTTTTAAGCTCACGAAAGTTGGAAATCAGAAATCTAGTCAATGTCTTATTAAGTTATTCATTAAAATAAAATCTATGTATAAATATAAGTATATTTTTAGCGGACTTTGCCTTCTAAGTTCAAAGGGACAGCTACAAAGAGCGTAGCAGTCGGGTGTTACCGACTACAGCTTACTCCTTCATATACCAGCGCCATTTTACGTTTTGCCACGCCCTCAATTGGTATATGTATAATATGTGAAACTTAATAGACAATATAAACAGTCCTTATCGTTACGTTTTTAATTGCTAGCTCTAAAACTGCAGTTCTCCCAGATTTGCCACGCCCCTGGTGGGCATAGACATGCCATTCGTGGTCAATTTTTGATAAACACCTAAGGTGTTTATGAAAATTTTAAAGCTTACGCTCAAAAACTGATCAAATTATAGGGTATTTTTCGCATGCCACGCCCCCAAAGGGGAATAGTAATTACTTTTGAGTCCAATTTGGAAATTTCTAGCTCGCAGACTGTAGAAGCTAAAAACATTTGCGGTTTGCCACGCCTCCAATGGGCATAGATATTGATAGATTGTGTACGTGCGAGCGATTATACATCTCTATACTACCAGGGCTGCTGATATACCGGAAAATGCATTTTTCCATGACTTACCACGCCCCTAGTGGGAGGATCGGATTAACTTTGACACTGTATAAGTCTGTAGCCAACAAACGGACGGACAGCGAGGCGGGCATGACACAAAATCAATATACTCATTTCACTTTCATGAATGAGCACGAAAACGAAAAGTAAAAAATTAGTAAAAATTAATAAAAAATAATAATAATATTGACAAGCAATTAATTTATCAAAGTTAATAATTTTTGTACACCAAAATATTTTTCATAAATTTTTCCTGCTGTAAAACTAAAGCAAAATAAATTTAAAGTCGTTTTTATTCACAGTTGTATATGTAGGGACAATAAAAAAAAAAAATGTTTTATCAAGCAGACAATTTTTTTGTAAACTGTCCATATATTTATTTATATACTGTTTAAAAAAAAAAAAAAAAAAAAAAAAAATCAGTTTTTTGTAGCATTTTCACTGATGCTTTAAGTCCGCACTGCAGTTAGCCTGCACTACTCGACGCTAGATGGCGCCATAACCAGCACACAATGTTGCCAATGTAGACTATGAAATGTGTGCACTTCACATTGCCTGCTGCATTCTCATTTCACAATGGGGCCGCCCGCCCCAAGGCCAGCTGGAGCACTTTAATCTGGGAATTGGCACTTACCCTGCGAGAACTGAATGAGCTTGCAGAGGAACTCGCCAAAGATGAAGTTGCGCAACAGCGTGCCGACGAGTGTGACGGGCATGCAGAGCACGCCCAGCAGCATGTCCGAGATGGCCAGGTTGAGCAGAAAGAGATTGGTGATGGTGCGCATGCGGCGGTTCTGCATCAGCGTGGATATCACCAGCAGATTGCCCACGATGGCGCAGAGCAGGATCAGGCTGTAGCTGGGTATTAGCCAGGCGGGCATTTCGGTGGCGCTGCTGGCGGTGCTGCTGCCACCGCTGCCGCTGCCAGCGCCGCCAGCTGCCGCTGCGGCTGCGGCTGACGGTGCTCCAATGCTCCTCTCTGTTGGGGCGCCATCGGGTATCAAGAAGAATTGGCCAGCGCCCAGTGCATCCATGTCGTCATCAGCGCTGCTGCTGGCATTGCCGCCCGGGCCAGCGCCGCTGCTGCTGCCATTGCCGGCGTCGGCCAGGCCCAGCGACAGCGTTTCGTTCAGCGGCGACAGCGTCAGCGAGACGATGTGGCTGGCGGCGCTCCGTGCGTTCGCATAGTAGTCCACCAAGGCCTTGTAGGTGTCGGCCGCGTGGGCTGCATCCTCGGCGCTGGTGCTGTACATGGCCACGGCGTGATCTAGTTCCGGTGCCGCGGCCACTACCGGGTCCGGATTCCGGATTTCTGTCACTCACTACCGTCTTTCACTTAACAAAAACACAAACAAAAAGAAATGATCTTGAGAGTATCACACACACACACACACACACACACACACAGGCGGAGACACACACACGATCCGTGGACTGCGGCTCGACTAACGGTACTTGGGTACGGGTCGTAGTATACGTATACGAGGCAAGCGACGCCCACGACGTTGACGTCGTTTGCTGGCGCGCTTCGCTCTGCCTAGCCGTTACCGTTACGTTGAACGAATCGCTGGCAACTGGCAGCCGCCGCCAATGGGGCAACTGCGTGGCGCCTGCGTTTCGGCTGCGCGAAACTCACCACAGGCGGCAGCAACACGAGGCATGCCACAGCGCAACATGTTGCCAGCCACATGCGAAAGGCGCCTCGTTAATATGCAACGGCCAGCGTCTGGGCAGATATATAGCCTCCATGTCCACAGTGGCGAGCAATCTAAACTGATTCAAATTGCCTCACGGACGGACTGACTGATTGACGCACTGATTGATGGACTGACTGATGAGGCACTGACTGAGAATGAAAATAGAGTTGAAGCTACTGAAGCTAAAGAGCTGAAGAAATAGAGAGTAGCAGTAAATCTACTTGACTGATTGACTGATTGATTGGCTGATTGACTGATAACACAGTGTAAGCCATAGGAGCTAGAAAATATTAACAGGTTACTGGCTTAAACTGCTCAGTCAAACAGTCTGGCTGACTGAATGATTGACCCAACTGATGAGCTTTGTGATTGACTAAATGATTGATTGACCTATTAGCTAACAGTTTAGCTGAATGAATGCATTATTGGGCTGAATGACTGACTGCTAAAGTAATTGACTGATTAATTAATTGCTTATGATTGATGATTGATTGTGGATCAATCATTGACGTTTTAGCTATGTATTTACATTTATTTGACTGGATGTTTCTCTGTCTGATTATAGTCAATTGTCTGTTGATTGACAAACTGATTAGTTAAATGACTGACTGACTGATTGATTGATTGGCTTACGCACTCATCGATCAACTGACTGATTTACTAGCTTATCGATTGATTGACAGACTGTTGAATTAACCACAAATCAATCTATAAAGGGAATCCAATCAATCAAGTTAACTGAACCATTTTATTGACCAACTGATTGATTGATTGACTTATTATATGGGTTATTTTCGGTTTGAGTATACGATTTTCTAATAGATTGATTCACTGATTGATTGATTTATTAATTAGCTGATTGATTAACTGAATGATTGACTGATTGATTATTGTTTAAGTAAATGCTTGATGAGCTTATTGATTTGCCTGTTTAACTGAATTATTGACTGATTGAATCCACTTGATTAAATAATTGTTTACCTGATAGACTAATTATTTGACTAACTGATTAATTACTTATACTAGATTGATCGATTGCCTAACTAATGAAATGACTGACTGATTGATGCGCAAGGCTCAATGTGTGACCTGATTGATTATCAAAACTCCAAGCGAAGTATTCAAACTATAACGCTTTAAACTAAGGCAGTCTAAATAGTACGAATTTTGTTTCCTGACTAACTGACTGACTGACTGATTGATGATCATCCCATCTGAGTCCGTACAGCACCGCTGAAATCTAACTGAAAATTGTTATAAAGCAACACTTTTGTTATTATCCAACCAGACTTAAATGTTTGTTCGAAAAGTTCTAACCACGCCAATCCAAATAAAAGCCTTAGCAAAATGTGGACAAAAAAATAACTCGGAACACTTAAGCTCCTTTCCGAATAACGCCAAAGTCATTTATATACTTGAAGTACAATTTCGCATATCACAAACTTGCCAGCTGATGAAAGGCGAGCGAGAGTTGGCGTCCTCTCCAACTTTTATCCCTTTAGACATCTGTTTAAAGTTTCGCCCCCAAGCTTAAAGTTGTTTCCAATATTATTCCTTTACGTGTTGTTATTTCTATATTCTCCCCTATTCATTTTTTATTTTTTTTTTTTTTTTTATTTTTCCAATATTCTTCGTTTTGTATCAATTTTTTTTTTAACTACTTCTTTAGCTTCACTTTAATCAACTTAAAAATTTTATATTTAACTCTATTCAATATTTTTATGTTCATGAAATTAATATTCAATATTAAAGACTAATTTGTTTTTTTTTTTTTTTTTAATTGTTTAAAGCAAATGTTTACTCGTTGATGCCACGAGCAACGCGACTCATAAATATTTCCCACAAATCTTATCTGATTTTATTTTTACAAGGTGTTTTATTGATTTAATCATTGCAAATTGAATGGTGGACATTTTGTTGATTTTCTTTCATTTTCAATTTTCATTTTTCATGGAGCGACTTCGACATATAAAATAAATTTTAATATGTTTTCCTTTCGGTAAGCGAGATTAATTAAATCTGCAAATTTGCGTTAAGAAGGGTTTTAAAAAATAAATTAAATAAAAAAACCACACATAAATTTATATTTCAGACACATGAATTGATAAATATTGATGAATGCAGAGATAAACATATGTATGTACACATATCTGTATATAAATACACTCTAAGACACATGTCAGGGGATTAGTACATATACATATACATATGTACAGGCCTAGATACATTGAGTCGATATATACGCATGCTGACATTCATGATACGTATATGTACATATAGATGTATGTATGTATGTACACCTGCTGTATGTCAACATGGCTTACTTGCTGACATAGTGACGTTCATCCATACATATATACATGCATACATGCATACACATACCTACATACTTATATGCATGCATGTATACATACATCCAAACATGAATACATATAGGCATATGTACACGCACACATGCACATATATGTACCTTCATACATGCATACACACATGCATATGTACACACACACATACATGCATACATGCATTCATACATGAATACATATAGACAAATGTACACACGCACATTCATACACATACATATATACATTCATACATGCATATATACACACACATACATGCATACATGCATTCATACATGAATACATATAGACAAATGTACACACGCACATGCATATATATGCACATTCATACATCCATACATACATGCATATGTACACACATACATACATACATGCATGCATGCATACATACATCCATAAATGAATACACACATGCATATGTACACACACACACATGCATATATATGTACATTCATACATCCATACATACATGCATATGTACACATATTCATGCATACATACATCCATTCATGATGTACATACTCACATGCATACATACATCCCTGCATCCCTTGCATGCATGAGTACATACGTACACACATACATGCATACATATACACTATTCTTATGTATATTAGCAATCATATTCGCATGCCTGCATACATATGCAGACATGTTTACATATGCACATGTGCTCTCACATGCACACTTATAATAATCTCTCCATAAAAAGAGCGCATCTGCATATATAGCATATAAGCTATAAAAATCAAGGCAACCAACTCTCGCATCAGTTGATGAGAATCGCCGAGAACGACATTAACTGGAAGAGCGTAAAACGTAACTGCAATTTGCTATTATTGCACATACACATACACATATCAACATGCACTGGGGAGGGTTAAATTCCTCAAATAGGAAATTCATAACTAAAGAAGCATTTGATTTCTTTGGATCAGCCATAAACATATTTATTTTTGTGTACAAACACCGTACGGCATTTCGGAATCTCTAAACGCACTTTCTAGGCCAACTGGTTTGATTGGTTGGTTCTGTTTCGGATCTGTTTATTCGCTTTTATTGCCTTTGCACATGTTATGACAACTGTTTGCTTAGACGGCTCGCATGCGAATGTATTTTGTGGTTTATCTGCATTACTCTGTACTCGTATTATGATAAACCGAACCGAAACAGCTTTGGCACTAAATTGGAAGTGTCAACAGGCCCAATAGGCATAATCATATCTGTGACCATTAAATACACGAAGAAGAGCCAATTAGTGGGAAATATGTGATAAAGCAATCAATCTTATCTAACTGAATAATTGAGGAGTGCTAGACCTAGAGTAATATATAAATAGAGCTGTGAGTGAACTAAGCGGGAGTACCCGACTAGAGAATACCCTGAACCGAAGCGAAGAGCTACTCTTCTAATAGCTCTACTTGATCTTGAAAGACTTTTTATTGCAATTTTTTAGACACAGAGAGTGAGGCATAGGTAGAAAGGTATAGCAAAGGTTAAGAAGGAGTATCCGAAGTTCAAGCTATACCAAATTTGGCAGACCAACCCTCACAGTAAATTTAATGCTATATATAACTATAAAATATTATCGATTTTGATCTATATTGAGAGCTTATTTAAAAAGTCTTACTACATATTTTGTAGAGGAATTTCAAGTCTTTTCTTTTTATAGTCACATACGGACGGAAGGACTTAGACAATCGGAATGGACGGGCGGACGTACCGACAGACGGATAAATAGACGGATAGAAGGACAGACGAATTGAACTGTATCGGCTTACCTTATCATCCTGATCAAAATTATATACGCCACGCCTCCTTCTACATATTCATATGCCCAATATACCTTGATATCGCATTTTCCATGGGTTCAGGTATCCAAATTAACAAACATATCGCTTGGGTCTAATTTTATGGCATCTGCCACGCCTTCCTCTGCGTGTTATATAATTTTCATATAACCAATATACACTAAAACTAAATTTTAAGCTGGTTTAGGGTATAAGAACCTGAGCTCTATTTAGAAAACTAGGTAACGAACATCAGGATTCGAAATTCCGACTATATATATGAATATATACGAGTATATCAAATATATGAGAATATGAAATATATGGCCAATACATCTTTTGGTGGTAAGTCGCAGAACCTTCTCCAGCATCATTGCTGTTGCTTTATTATAATTATTATATAATAATGGGAATAATAGAATACTCAAACAATCTCTCGCTCAGCCACATTCAGGTCAGACTAATGTCTGGGATATACTATATAGATATGTATGTCCGTATAGATGTTCGCCTGCTCGCAGTATATTTCATTCGATATTTTTTGTAGCCACATTCAAGCTCTATAATATATCTTAGCCATTTTTGCCGAGCAGCGGGTAATTCAGCCAACTGATTGCTTGATTCACATTGCGCTGTTTGCGGCCTGATAAAGCGACGTGGATGACGCTGGCGACGATAAGCCCTGCACCGGATAAGCTCCAATGCCGTCTCTCTCGTTCAGTCCCCAACCGAAGTGAATTTTGCAGGCACACACAGCAGACAGACACACACACACACACACAGACAGAGAGACAGAGAGACATTGTGGACTAGTACGTGCGCACTTGATTGCAACGTGCCCCAGCCTCAGCAACCGGTGACTGCAGCTGTGACTGCGGCTGCGGCAGCGGCAGCCGCAGCGGCAGAGAGCCGGCTGTGGTCTAGGCAGCGCTCCTCAAGGCTGAGGCAAGGCTGAGGCAAGGCTGATGCGGCACAGATTGCTGGCCGAAGATGCCGTTAAGCCTACACCTCGACTTGCAAGTGTTCGACCGGTTGATTGGGAACAGGCTGCACCACACGAACCCCCTTACCCCCACACACAGCCCAACCCCACCCCAGCCTAGCGAAAAACAGTATCCAACAAAATAACAAAATAAATACATATAATAAGTGAAATAAATCAATTCTTGACCAACAAAATTTTTCAATCTATCGCTAGGGCATGACTTCATGAAAAGATAAAGCGTCTATTTGTTTAACACCATTTCAAATTCAATGTGATGATAATTTCTATAAAATATACTGCACTAGATATTAATATACTATGTACATTATACTGATAGAAAATGTTTATGTGGAACTTCAGATAAGCTCAATAGAATTCCGACTATACGTAGTTCAAAGATAAGTTCAAGTTAAAAAAAAAAAATAAATTAAATAAATAAATAAAAAAATATTGATATATATGTATGTGTATTATACATAGTATATCATAATCATATATGTATTTAGATAATTTGTTAGTTATCTATAAGCTATTACTCTACCAATTATCATATACTATATATGTACATACATATACATTTATCACCAACTATATTCACATACCCATATACATATGTATGTATGTATTCATATACCCACAAAATCTCAATAATTACTAATCTATTTTAATTGTAGCGCTTAATCAAGTTTACGGAATTGCTTGAAGATTTGTCACAGTGCATTTATTTTAAGAACATTGAGTAAATTCATATGTATAATAAATAAATGTGATGTACAGTGCTTTACATCCTAAACCATGCTCCTATATATGAATGTATGCATGTATGTATAATTATATACACACACACACATATATATGCGCGCTTGCGCTCAACGGTGTCAAACATTTTGTCAACGGCGCAGTCGACGTCGCTGCCCGCGCACTTTCAACTCTGAAACTGAAACTGAAAATAAAACCAAATGCGGTGACGGCGCCGTCGCCGTTGCTCCGTTCTCAGTCTCTGTCTCTGTCGCTCATCAGCTCGTCAGCTTACTGGGGTGCTCCCACTTGCTCGCTCGCCGACTGCGCTGCCCGCTTCGTTTTCGTCGTTATGCTTTGTGCTGGTTGGCGCTGCTTCTGCGTCAGCCACTTCGTTGGAGTTGCACGCGCTGCCGGCCCGCATTCGTGAGCAACAATTCGTGCGAGTCGGACGGAGTCGGTTGGCTATTTTGGTCACTCCCGATTAGAGCCTGTGTGCCTTTTGCCTTTGTCTTTGTTTTCGTTATTAATGTAATACATACATACATACATACATACATATATGTATACATTTATATAGATTTTTTTTTATATTAATTTTGTTGTTGTTTATCGTGACACTTGTCGTTAAGCGTTTGCGTGTTGTGTTCACAAAATTTGCACCAAGCACCCAAGCCGGTAAAAAATTCCCTGAACTGTCACTCGAGAGTTGCAGCAACAGCCGCAGCACCAAAGCCGAGCAGAACCGAAGAACTAGAAGAAGAAGAAGCAGCAGAAGCAGCAGAAGCAGAAGCAACCCAACAGTAGCCGCAGCATCCCATTCAGCCAGCCAGCAACATGTCAGACGGCATTGAAGTTGAACAAATTGTGGAGAGCAAGCCGAAAAGGGTGAGAGATACTTTTAACGCAATCTTACACACACTCACACACACACACAGATTTTTATATGGTATATGTATCAAGAAAATATTAAGTGCGGCACAAGACGAAACAAAAAGAATTAGACTCATAAGAGATGCGACAACGGGGCAGTTAAACAGCAACACAGCAACGGCAACAGCAGCGCAAAAGAAAATCTGCAGAAACAGATAGCGCGCGTGAGCGAGACAGGGAGAGAAAGAGAGAGTCAATGTGAGAGGCGAGTGCAAAAGCTGTGGACGGCAGAGCAGGCCAAAAAGGAAGAGGGAAGAGTCCGGCAGCGTAGCCTCGCTATAGTTGGAGCCCCAGCCCAAAGTCAACTGTGCGTATGTGTTAGTGTGCATGTATTTGTGCCTGTATGTGTGCCTGAGTGTTGAACTTTAAATAACTGTGACTCCACACACAAGAACCGGCCAGGGCCAGGGCCAGTACCCCCAGTCGCAGTCGCAGCAGCAGCAGCAGCAAAGGCAAAGCCAGTGCCGGTGCCGGTGCCGGTGCCGACGCCGGTGCCAGACAGCGAAATATAAAGTACAAGAAGAAGAAGAAGAAAACACAGAACAGCAAAAGAGCACGAAAAAGAAACAACAAAAAAAAAGAGGGAATATCTTGCTTATGCTTTCTAAGTGCGGGGGCGGATGCAGCATGCAGCGCAGCAGCCAAAGGGGTAGATAAGCAGGCGTAAGTGTGTGTGTGTGTGTGTGTGTGTGTGTGGGCATGGCCATATTAGACAGCAGCAGCAAAAACAACAACAACAACAAGGAATATGCATATCAAGTTCAAGTGCGCAACGGCTTCGCAGTCGCCGCCGCTGCCGCCGCACTTGTGAACATAGCAGCTAATATACATACATATGTATGTATATGTATGTGTGTGTGCACACCCACACACACACATGTTGTAAGATTTTCAATCTGTATCTTATCGAGCATGTATCGAGTAATTGTTGCGGTTACATTGAGTTCCATATCAAATTTGTTTAGCTACTGTGTAACAGTAATTCTGACATCTGTGATATACTATGGCCCGCTGGCTGTGTGTGTGTGAGTCATTTTGGGTGATTCGATTGATTCACTGTGACTCACACACACATACACACACACATGCACGCAGACCGGGCGCAGCTGCAGTTCAATTACCTACTATATTAAGCAGCTATCGAAGCGACATGACTCAAAATTTAATCAGTGAAAGAGACAGAGAGAGGGAGAGAGGGAGACAGGCGTTCGTTTGTTCAGTTGCTGCAAAGCAACGAAAATCACAAGAAGAAGAAGAAAAAACATGGATTAAAAATGCAAACTACTAAATGTTCACATAAACCAAAGTTAGCTTGAAATGTTCATAATGTGAACTAGTTCAACAATTTTGCCGTACGACAAATATACAGTCGATTAGCGTGCTCAATGCAAACGAGTGCAATTTCAAAAACATAAAATATCTATATACATCCATGTGTAGTATGCACATTCTCTTTCCTTATCTGTCGGAACATAAAGACGAACCATTTACGGTTATAACTCAATTCAATAAGTCAAACAGAAAGCCATGAAAACTGAAATCGAAACTGAAAATACGTTCGAGTGGATGCCACAACAGCAACGGCAGCAGCACCAGCAGCAACACCTCAAATCAATGCCAATGGCAATAAATAATATTGAATATCGTAAATCTCTACCCAAGCCATCCACCCGCAAACGAGCTGCATTCGATATGCATTCCATTACCGTTAGAATTGAAAGCGAGTATTGTTTTAGCTAGTGCTATTGTGTAACAGGCACACACACACACACACACACACACACTTATACACTTGCACGCATGGCCTCTCTTCAATTTTGTTAAGTTAGCTGCGCTTCCTGATGCGCCAAATTTGGCTGTTGTTTTTTTTTTTTGCTCATTTTTCGCATTTATTATTCACTAATGAGTCACGCACACAAATCAATAAACGACGTTTCTTTGTTTCATTGCAAAAATGCAGAATTATTAATACATGCAGCGCAACAAGAATAACAGCAACAACAACAACAGCAGCTGAAACAGCGCGTGAAACGAAATAAAGGAAAAATTAACAGCCTTGCCGTCTGCCGATGCCCTTACCACCTCCCCTGCCCACGTCACTCTCGTCTCTCCCCTCACTTGTCGGTCCTTCCGCCAGTCACGGAGCAAATGAACGCGGCGCTGATTCATGCCTTGCATTGTGCTTTTCTTGTTCGACTTCGTGCTCGAAAAAAGGCTGCAAAGAGTTTTCAACAGCAAAATTAAAACACATGTGAATAGTACTCCTTAGGCTGCCCCTCTGCCCCTTCCCTAGCAGCTCTTTCGCATGGTAATGCGAACTAATATCGAAATCAAACTTTAATAATTAAGCGTATTTTCCCTTTGTTGAAAGTCAGCATGACGATGATTAATCAAATTAAACAAAATAGCCAATTATTGAATTGAATATCCTGTAATATTTTATTTATAAAGATTACAAATCTAAAAACTAAAAAAAAATTTTTTTTAATTATTATTAAACATATTTTAAATTAAATATAATTTGATAAATTTTCTAACATTGAATTAAAAAATGATTTAAAAATTTTTTTAATTTAATGAATTTTTAATATTTTATATTGAAGTACCAAGTTTCCTATAATACTTAACAACTGATATAATTTATAATTAGTACAAATTAAAAACCAAAATCAATTTTTAAAAATTATATATATATATATTTTTTTTTTTAGAATTTTTATTTTTTTGTTTTTTTTTTTTTTTTAATTTTTAGAATATTTATCAATATAACATTTTTAAGTAAAATGAAAAATTATTTAAACTAAATTTTGTTTATAATTGGCGTAGCACACTCATACCCAGCTCATATTTCCTACAGGGTATTCACAGAATCTCAGTCTGTTTCAGCATTTCCCTCAATCTGTGATTCACGCACTTGACGCACAATTTTCATAGTTTTACTTCTACTTCTTCTACTTATTCTTTTGCTTTTTTAATTTCTAACACTCACACACACACACACACACACACACAGAGATTGGCATTCATTTTGCGGAAAACTTTTACTGGATTTATGTGGAACTTTATAAGTATGCGACGAGCGTTGCGTATCTGGAATGGCATTAGTCAACCTTAAGCGATTATAGTATATATACATTTATTTATTATATATATAAAGATACACGTTTATTACTGTAACAACACCTGCTATGCGTTCCTTAGATTTCTGCTATCGTTAGCAAATTTTTTGTATGCTTTGTTCCCAAAGGTAAAAAAAAGTATATTGGTTTTGCGCAATGTCCGTTCGTCTGTCTTTATGAACTTTGAGATTTGAAATGTGGAACCTATTCTCGTGTATATCCTCGACTGATAAAGTGTGTTCGAATTTCCAAGCCCAATATCAAGATCAATAGGATATGGCGGATCTATCTACGATTGGTATATCTATCTATTGGGTTGCGGCAAATCGGCAACAAAGTATCACGCAGTCGGTTACTCCCCACTGCAACGTCCTTAATTAATATTTTCTTTATTTGTTGCTGCATTCGAATTTTTTCTGGCCACATTTAAAATACTGGCTAAAGCAATTTGCTGATATGGTGCGCGTTGTGTGCGCTGATATCGACTTCTATAGATATTGGCACACAATTTATTTTGTATATAATTTTGTGTGTACACTTTTTATCACCTGACTTATCAAAGGTCATTACAGTGCTTTTTATGCCCGCCAATTGGCAAATGGCTAAAAACACAATTGCAAAAAAATGAAGTTTTTACAAACAAGATTTCCGTGTTTTATATATAATTGCATATCCTTTGTGAAAGATTTAAAGTTATTTACATAAATGTATAATAAATACATCCAACAAATATATACAAAATATTTACAGTTGCGTTAAACAAGTAAGAATTAAATGTAAAAAATACGAAAAATATGCTGAAATGCTTTAAAAATTTATGAAAATAAAAAAATAAATAAAAAGAAAAGAAATATTCACTAATATTTTTTATATAGTTATCAATTCGCAATAATTTCCGATTGCATAGACATAAGGAGACATGGCTGAGAACCAATAGGGTATATAGATTCTTGATCATAAACAGCTCAGAGTAGAGCTACTCTTTAGCTGTTCCTCTTCAAGCACTTAAATATGCAATTTTGGCGCAAATTACTATTAATAACTTTGATCAATAATTTTAATGAGTAAACAGCTCATTTAATATTTGAATACAGCTACATATGCATACATAATATATATGTGCACCAATTAGCAAGGGTATTCCCTAGTCTAGCATGCCACTCATCGCTGTTTGCTTTACCGTAAAAAGTAGCCGTTGCTCACACAATTCTGAATTACACACAATGCATTTGCTTAAATCGGATCAGGCGATCAACTCAGTAGCTGTTGACTTGAGATTAGATAAAAGTAACGGCATAATGTAAGATTAAACAAGTACTCAAATATATATTTATATTTTAAATATACAAGTGCATATCAAATATACATACATACATACATACATACATATGTATGCACTTGGCCGCAAACCAGACTGCGATAAGGATGGCAATCAATAAATGTTTGCCGATATGATTACGAATATCGATAACTTTTACTTTCGTTTGAAACATAGTTGCAATGAGCTGGAACTATTTGATTACTTTGATTGCACAAGACAAGAACTAGCGAAGGACAAGAGCAAACACAAGTGCATTAAGCAGCAACAAGTCAGCGTGTGTGTGTGTGTGTGTGTGCGTGCATGTGTGAGGGCAGGCGTATATCAAAATTCGATTCACACATGCTACTCGGCTTATCTGAGTCGCAAGACGTGTTAGACAGAGAGCAAGCGATTGGGCTTGCGTCACTGCTGCACCCGCTTACACATACGCATACGCAGAGTCGCCCGCATCCGCACCCAAAGCCGAGCCCAGGACAAACAAATAAAAGGGGAAGAGACAAAAGCAACAGCATGCGCTGTAATTGCGGCAATATATGATTAGTTATCAGGCACGCCCAGTCAACAGTCGCATCTGAGTGTGTGTCAATTCGTTTTGCGGCGAGATAGTTGAGAGAAATGTCTTATCAGATAAATAAAGCAAAATACAAAAAGCCGTTAATTTGCGCTCGAAATTATGGCAGCTGGCCATATACAAACATACATACATACACGCATACATAATTCAGAATTCTCTCAGCTTTAGTTGCCACTTCTTCTTATTCTGCATTAGCTCTTTCCTATTGCAAATTGTCGGCAGCGCACAAATTATGGCAACGGTTTTATTTCACTTCTCTGCTATTCTTCGCTGTGTGCATGTGTGCATGTGTGTGTGTCTGTCTGTCTGTATTTTGTCAGCTGGCACAGTTTTTGCATGTTTGGCTGCTCATTTATTTTTGTCTAATTAATTCAATACAAATCAAAAGATTACAGTTTTTATCGTCGTGAAAGTCTAAGCGGAGGCCAAAAGTTTTCTATTCTTTGATCTTTCTAATTGTTTGTCAATTTGTTATCATATTCTGCTTTCCAGAGCGCACTTTTCTAAATTGCTTTGCGCTTTTCTAATTGATTTTTCTCATACACACACACACAGAGAGAGAGACGCACACTCACAGGCACACAAAATCTCTCTCATAGAAGCAAAATCAATTTCGGTCAACGAACGCATTATGATCCAGCCGCTCTCTTACTCGCGCTCCTTCTCTGTCGCACTCACGCGTCTTGCTACTGCTGCTCATCTGCTCATTCTGCACTGCTCCATATGGCGACAGTTTTGTTGTTATATTTTATGCTCTTTGTTTTGTCGCTGCCAACATCTCAGCCGCCGCACAAAATTATCTGTAGACCGTTCTTTTTTTTTCATATTTCTTTTTCCCGTTGTTGTTGCTGCTGTGCTGCTGCTGCTGCTGCTGTTGGCGGCGGCTTTGCTGATTGAAAATTGTGATGCTTAAATTGTTTCAAATGGAGCGCATACAAACAAAACAATACATAAATCTCGATTGAAGACGCCCGATCAGCTGTCACCCAAACGGCTCTCGATGACTTTCCAAAGTAGCTGTAACTCGCTCGAATTATTCGAGCGTCGTATGCGATGTGGGATGGCTTTCGACATCGAAAACTAACATACATATATGTATGTATGTACATATAAATACATACATAGATACATATGTATCTGTATCTGCCCGCTTGAAAGTACCCAGCAATAAATCGAGGCAGAAAGCGAACGAACTCACTTTCGATATCGAAAACTACTACTACTACAGTCTCCATTGAAAGTCAACGGCCAACAACAACCACAATTAAGACATTAATGCATCATCCCCCATGCAAGCTAAATTAAGCAATAATAAATGAAGCCGCGTTTACGCGTTTACTGATCTGACGGAAACGCAAAAACATTAACAATTTATTTTTGTTTATTTGCCTCACGCACAAATCGGTCAGTGAGGCTTCATTCATTCAATCAGTCCAAATGACGCTCGCATGCAAATGCAATTGCATTTTTATTCGGTTAAATATGATTGACTTGTATGTATGTATATGTAAATATTATTATTACATTTTAATTCAAGTTAAAATTCACCTTATTTTGCATACAAATTAGCTTTTTGATATACACATCAAAAAATGAAGATTATTATAGGCAGCTGTGTAGATGGAAGGATTTTATTATATTATTATGATTGGTAGATTATACATACTTATACATACATACGTATATATAGAAGAAGAGCTTCTTCTTCTTGAGAATCATTGAAGTTCCCGGAAAGAGGAAAATAAATGGAGTGCTAGATAATAATGTGCATATGTATGTTTATAATAATTACTGTTCTGAGTTTCACTAATCTTTCATATGGCACCAATAGAGAGTAGATAAAGGCAGAGTGAGAAATGGAAATATAGGGAGAGAGGCAGAGAGGGTGTTAGAGAAGTGTTTTAAAGAATTAGAAAAGATGACATATACATAGACTAAGAAGGAAAGTGCGAGAGATTCAAATGCAAATAAGATAAGATTGGTAGTTATAGAGAAAGAGAGAAAGAGAGAGACAGAGAGGGAGAGGTAGCGTGTGTCGTTTTTAGAACATAGAAGATGCACATGCACAGTGAGAGAGACAGAGGTAAATACAAAGTAAGAGAACGAGATATAAAAAAGAGAGGAGAGATATATATGTAGAGAGAGAGAGAGAGAGAGAGAGAAAAAGCGAAATACTAAGGCAGATCAAGGATACACAAAAACTTTTAGATAGCTAGAGAGAGGGAGAGAAAGATAAAGATAGAGTTAAAGAAATGGAGAGAGCGCAAGCGAGACAGAGAGTGAGAGAGGGAGAAAGAATGAGAGGAAGAGTGATCAAAAGAGAGAGAGGGAGAGAGAGAGCGAGCAAAGGAGAGCGATCTCTCCTAGAGACATCTAGAGTTAGCTGGATTCTTAGTAAATATTTCCAACTGGACGGAACCAATTAGAGGTTATGTTCGAATTTGCTGTGGCTTTATCTACGGCTATGTTTACGTATTATCTAAGATCGAAGACAACATGATATAGAAATAGTTGTTTCATTACGCACGAAACATTGTGTTTCTATTTTTTTATCAATTGAATGAAAACAATTTCCGTTAAAACAATTTAAAAAAGAAAAAACAATTCTCATTTGAAAACTTTGCTACTTTTTGCCCTGAGGCAATGCAATTATGATTTGTATATAAGTATATATATAGACATGTTACTTTTGTTGCTGCTGTTGCTATCTCGCTCTGTTTTAGTTATTCAATTCGCATGCAACGCGCGCGCTTTTCATTTATGCAACATTTCGAGCTGAACAAATTGAAGAGTTTTGCGGAGGCAAAATGCATTGGCGTGATTGATTCATAATTGTATTGCTATTGCTATTGTTATTGCTATTGTTATTGTTATTGTTATTGCTATTGCTATTATTACTTTCTGGCTGGCTCTTGGCACGGAAACGAAAGCGAAAGTATCTGACGGATGCAACACGAAACGAAACCAAATGTAAACTGCCAAGTGGGCGTGGCAGCTCTTCCGTATAGCTAATAATATATGTGAAAATTGTATTTCTCTTGTTTGCTTCATTTGTGGTCTTCTTGCTCACCTTGCAGATGCCGGTGGCCACGTCACTGGACAAGGACGCCATCCGCGAGGCGTACGAGGACGTGCGCTCGGATCTGACGGACACGGAGTGGGCGGTGTTCAAGTTCGATGGGGCGCAGATAATCGTGCATGGGCGTGGCCAGTGCTTCGAGCAGTTCCGCGAGCAGTTCGGCGACTCGGAGCGCGCCTTTGGCTACATCCGCATACAGATGGGCGACGAGATGTCCAAGCGCAAGAAGTTCATCTTTCTGACATGGATCGGCCAGGAGGTGGGCGTCATCCAGCGTGCCAAAATGTCCACGGACAAGGCGCTCATCAAGGACGTGCTGAACGTGAGTGCCGTGCCTTTCAGCTCTATCCGAGCATCTCTCTTTAATCTCTCATTGTCATTGCAGAACTTTGCCGTGGAGCTGCAGGCGGGCGTCCAGGCGGAGCTGGACATCGAGCTGTTCCGCGAGGCACTGAATCGCGCCGGCGGCGCCAACTACGGCACCGGCGTCCGGGACAACTGAGCTGGGCAACAGACGGACGGAGCACCCACGTCGTCCTATCCACCAATCGATTTCAAGCACTTCCTCCTCCCGCCCCACCCGGTCTCTACCCTTTTTTTTTTTGTGCACCTCTTCAATTGCTGACTTAATCCTGCTTTTTTACTTAATTATTATGAATTAATTTTATACGATCTTAAAATATTTACTGTACATTTGTATGTAATATGTAATAAATATTAAAACAAGAAACAAAGAGATAAAATGGAATTGAATTAACGTGAAACTACAGCGAACGCCAATTGGAAAGTCGTGCTAATTGGAATTTCGTTGAACTAATCAGAACGTGTTTTGTGAATCACAATTCACATGAACTGATTCACAAAAAGTACAAAATTTTACTCTCAATAAATGTGGAACAAAATAAAATGTAAAATTACCTGGAAATCCAGTTGGGATTGCTGGTGGCCTCAATTCTAATTGGCATTTTGTTGAACCAGTCAGAATGTGGCTGAATGGAACTGATTGCATGTCAGTATTACGCTGGGAAAAATGTAAATTACAAAAAAAAACAAATTTATATTCTGATGTAACAGGAAATTTAATCAAAGTCCAATTGGAATCGGCCAATCCGCTGAAGCTATAAATTACACCGATATCCAATTGGTATATACAATTGCCAACCAGAATCCAACCAGATGAACTTGCAATATTAAATATCAAACCCCACCAAAACGTAGAAACCATATTTAAGGTAAAAATTCCAATTCCGTATTAAAATCCAATTGGCATGGGGCATTCAAGCGGAATGATAGCGGATTAAACGTATATTCCGATTGGTATTCCAATTAACCAACCTGTTAAACAACTACGAGCCAGTTTTGATATAAAAACTACAAAATTCTTGTGATTTTGCATGAGTCGATGCATGAATCCAATTGGAATGGGTAAATCAATCGCAGCTCGGAAACGTAATCCAAGCAGAATAAGGGCTGCTGGAATTTCTGTAAACAAATATTAAGCAACAACCAAACTGAATGCGTTGGAGTTCGAAATGTAGAAACATACAAATCCGATTCAAAATATATGCAACTGTAGTCCAATTGGGATTTACAATGAGATTGAAAGAGGTTTCCTCCATCAGCGCCCGATTACCAGGGGAGATCAACAAATACAACAATATATATTTCGCGGAACAATACAAGTTTATTTCTCATTTCCAGACTAAAGTGTATGTGTGTGTACATGTATATGTGGTATCTAATCTAATCAGAGTTGAACAGCAGCTGCAAGCCTAGACTAAAACATATTTTAGCTGTAGTACAATATACTGATTGGTGTATAAATTAGCTGTAGTAGCCGCAGTTTATGCAAGTATATATTTGATTAATTCCTAGATGCTCTTGAGTATACACAGAATAATGAATGGATAGAGGGAGAAGGGAGTACACAGGGTCCAATAGGTGTACCATAGAGGAGCTACAGACGGTGTCTAGTCGTCTAATTGAAAAACCGAGTAATTCGATTATGAGTGTATAAAAAATAAACAAAAATTTGATTAAAACTTGACTATATGACTAAGTGAGCTCCGAAGTGTTTCGAGGTGTGTGCATGTGTGTGACCAACACATATAAATATGCAAACAAAAGTACGGTAAAAGTAGCTTAAGTCTAAGGTGCGGCCATCAGAGTAGATCGAGATGAGGATCCAATGTACTCGGTGAATTAATGTCAGTGTCTAGGTGAATCGTTCGCTTAGTAATTGCCTAAAGTGCGCTTATGCTGGGTGTGGGGCTCAGGCTGGATGGCCTAGCGATCGCGGAAAAGCACCGAGTGCAGTGCATCGATGTCAACCTCAACGCCGGACGAGTTTGTGGTCACGGTCCGTGAACTGCAATCGGGGAATTTTAAAGACTAGAGTTGGAACACGAGGCAGACGTAGCTCAATATTCATATCCACTAACCTGACCGAGTGCGTGGAGCGATTGGATGAGTGCGGATTGACCAGCACACAGTGCATCGGCTGGCCATCGAACTCGCGCTGGTGATACGCCTCCACGGCCATTTCGGCGTGCTCGAGTGACTTGTAGATGACCTCGGCCGTGCCGGGACGCACCACGTGGGCATCGTACATGGGCCCGATGTCATTGAACAGCTCACGGATGTCCGCCGTGGTGACGTTGGCGTGCAGATTGCTCACCAGCAGACGGTAGCCGGGCTTGTTGACCACGCTCAGTGGCAACGACATCGACACGTTCGGTGGACTGCGACGCTGATGCATGGACCGCGAGGACATATGGTGCGTCTCCATGTGCCCCTTGGACTGGCCGCTGCCATTCTCGTTAGCGTAGATGCCGTGCGAGACGCGACGATCAGGCTCGCTGCCAAAGAGACGGGCACGCAGCGCATCCGGCAGATTGGAGGTGGCCACCAGATTGCGCTGGCGTCGCTCGAACAGTTTGTCCACGCCCTCCCTACGGCCGCCCCCCAATGGCGGAGGCGGCATGGCGGGTCGCTCCACACGATTACGCGCCGCCTCGTAGACGGAAAATGGATCATTCGACAGAGCACTGCCGCCCGGAGCTGTAATCTCCACACCGTCCATGTCCAGGTCATAGTCGTCGTAGCCACGGGTCATGCGAACGCGTGGCCCAGCACTCGAGGATGGGCAGTGGATGTTAGCCAGGTGCATAGTTTGTGCGATTTCCTCTATGAGAACGGATGAGAATGAGAGAGAGAGAGCGATTGAGATTAGTGGTACACTCTCTTACCATCTTCCTGCTTCTGCATGTCGTCGTAGTCCACGTAGCCGCGTGGCACAAACGGCGTGGCGTTTGCATCGAGTCGGCTGGGCTGATACGAGAGACCCGCAGTGCTCGAGATGCGCGGCTTGTAGCCAAGTCCAGCGCGATCCTTCTTCAGATCGAATAGTCTTTGTATGACGGCGTGCGGTGGTTTGTTCATCGCTATAATCCGTTGAGCAAAGCGACTCTTCTGTAGACTGCCAGCGCCGCCGACACCACGAGTCGGCGAGCGACCCGTCTTCACGGGCAGCGGCAGGGGCATCGGCATGCGCTCCTTCTTGCGCTCGAGCAGTACGTTGCGGGCATCGATGCCGGACTCGCGAATATTCTGGTTGAGTATGTCGCGAGCGTCAACGATTTTTGCGCGCGTCTTCTGAATGATCTTGTTGCGGGCGTCGTATGTGTGTGTGTTCAGGCCCTGCTTGACAGCTGCCTTGCGCGGCTTCATCTGAACGCCAAGCCTGTGGACAATGAATGGTGTGGGAACACCAAATTTTAGCGAATCAGCGCCATTTTCTTTTGGATTTCGAGCACTTACTGTTTTTTATCGGCGCCCCGTGAGGCATTCTTTACGCGCTTGCGTTCAATTATCTCGTCCAGGCTGAGGTCCACGTCCATGGTGATAGATTTGCGCGGCGCGCTCTTGTTAATTGATCAATTTAAAAATTGCACCTTTCCATGCACAAAAAAATCTTTCGAGAGAAAATTCTATGTCAATCTCCCCCGGCAAGCAATAAGCTGGCTTCGTATGGTGTCAGGGAAAAGTGACAAGCGGCGGCCAGGGCTGCACAGCAATTGCTTTAGATATCGATAGTATATCTGATAGCTATCGACTAGTTATTGCTACAATATTTTTGTCCAAAACCAATCTTTTAAAACGTTTGTAGTTTTATTTTACTTTTTTCAGTTTAGCTCTGTTGCTGTTTTCATTGCACTACAGCAGAACTATGGTAAAATATTTCACATATGCCAAGAATCTCACAATGTTTGCTGAGCTTCGTACTGGTATAGATTATGCTTCAAAGTGATGTTTTATATAGGTTCTAATGTTTAATGTGTAGGAATAAAGTAACATATATATGTATCATTTATTTATGTATTTTGTAACAGTATTATCTATTTTAAATATTATATTCCATGTGTGTGTTAATATGCAGGCATGTAAACTTAACTCCAAATTGCACTATCAAGCTGAAGCTGAAAGCCGAATCCATAAATAAGTGTTTATTTAAATTATAACTAACTACTTTCAGTGGTTAGTGCTATTATAGATAGAAAAATAAAATATTTGTGCATTTTTAAGTGTATTTACATATCAAGATTTACCGATAGATTGCGTGCAGTTCTTTTGCGATCTTTCGATGATTGTGCGATGATTGCGATTTGTGGCCGATGCGAGTGCACATCACTATCGTCGCCGCTATTTTGTGTTGTCAATTATTCTCTTAGTTACAATTATTTTCATCTGCGCTCGCTGAACGAACCTCTGGGCGAATAGCAACCGATCGCAAAGTTTGCCCCGCAACACCCAGCATTGCCTCTTTCAACTGAGCTCATTAGGAGGTTTGTGTTTTTGCTGCAAGGTTGCTGCAACAGCGGACACCGCATGCTGAATACACCAATAACAGCAGCAGCAGCGACAACAACAACAACAGCAACAGCAACATCAACATCATCAGCGGAAGCAACATGAATCCCTGTGCTGTGCCCACACCCGTGCCCGATGTTGACGGCGACAAGCGCTGGCTGAGCATACACCGTCGCTTCATCTCGGATTGCCGCGAAAAGGATCCGGACGTGATATTCCTTGGAGATTGTATATTCGAGACGCTGCAGGATACCGACACCTGGAATCAGTACTTTGCGCCGCTGCACTGCCTCAACTTCAGCATACGCGAGGATCGCACCGAGAACGTTCTCTGGCGCATCGAGAACGGCACTCTGGACAATGTCAATCCGAAGATCGTCGTCCTGCACGTCGGCACGAACAACACCAGCAACAGCGCCGCCGAGGTGGCCGAGGGCCTGCTCGCCAACGTGGCCAAGATACGCGAAAAGCTGCCCGGCGCCTACATCATATTACCAGTAAGTTGATCGGACTGTATATACATATATATATGTATATAGAATGTATATATATAATTTGATATTTGATTTGCAGTCGCTTCTGCCACGCGGCCAGCAGCCGAACGCGCTGCGCGACAAAAACAAGGAGATCAACGAGCTGATCAAGGAGAGGACAAAGGGCATGGACCGTGTGCAGACTGTCGCCATTGACAAGGGGCTGGTGCATACGGACGGCAGCATTAGCCATCATGACATGTTCGACTACAAGAGTCTGACCAATACCGGCGCCAAAAAGATACTCGAGCCATTGCATGATTTGCTATCGCAGATACTCAATGAAAACGAACTGGAACGCGATCTCACACCATCCGAATAACTCACAATATACACGAAAACAATCAACAACAACAGCAACAGCAACAGTAACAGTAACAACAACAATAATGGAAATCCAGAACACTCAACCCAACCGCTTGATCTGCAGCAATGAAAGTATTTACTCGTCTATTGAACGGGAGTATCAAGTTTTTGGTTTATTGTTACCCAAACAACAGAGCCAAGAGCAAACAAACGCAAGTTTCCTTAAACACCTTACATAGCTACGATATTGGTATATATATATATATATGTAATTTTATATATATATATATATATATGCATATATACATATATGATTTCCCATACTCATTCGTAGGATTAAAGTCTATAGAAAAGTATATAGAAGACACACACAATGCGCGCATGAACATTTTGTATTTTGCATTTATACTAAAAGATAATTACAATTACATACATACAACATAATAATACATAATAACAATTTAATATGCGAATTAAGTTTCGAGACGAAGAAATTAACAACAAGAACATTCCCTGAAACTTACCAATATATATATACGTATATATTTATAAAATAATCATATTTTTTTATCATCACAAATTTTGAGTAAGCTTCAGAAAAGGAAATCCACGTGCATTAGGTGATAAAAAAAAAAAAAAAAAAAAGCTAAGAGAATATTTAATATGCGGCAGCTAAAAGTTACTTCGGTTGAGCTGCCTTGAGCTCGGAAATATTATCTATTTAATTTCTTTTTTTTTTTTTTTTTTTGCACATGTATAATAATAAATGAAAACATTTTGTGTATGAAAAGCTCAAAACGCAGAATTATTACTAACCAGGAACCTTTCGTTGCGATTGTCAACTACTCCAAAAAGAAGCAGAATACATATATAAATATATTTTAATATATGAGGAAGAAGGACAATTAAAAAAGGGAAAAGTTATAAGCAATCTAATTATATAAACTAACTATATAAATATATTTTTACTTTCTATTTATACAATATTGCAATTTGAATTGAACTATTAAATGCGCCTGTCTAGCGATGGCACCGCTGCAATCGATAAGTCAAACAAACATTGAAATTTGATGTAAAACGATAGGTCAATGTGGGCAAATCGAGAAAAATACAAATTGTTAGTCAAAAACAAAATGTCTAGCATTGATTTTTAAACTATTTATTTAAAACAAAACACTGCGAAATTTATAGTCAATTATTTATTGATGTGCAGCTCAGCAACGGATCAAAGTGAAACACAAATATCGATAGCATCGATATACAAAACATTGTGAGTCAACGGTCTAATTAGAGGTCTTTGTTTACTTGCTATTCCAGCTATTCCAGGCCAAATTCTAAAGCGAAAAAACCTAGTTTAGTTGCAATTTTGACTTTGATTGACAGCTGTCCACACAATGAGCTGCTACGGCTGCAGCCGTAGATACGGACTCTTCTGCAAGGAGGTGAGAATGGGTAGCCAGGCTGGTTTCTTTTTTGTTGCTAATCCCAATTGCATTATTACAGTACGGCTGCCCCAACTGCGGCTATTCGTACTGTGCCAAATGCCTGAAGCGCCCAATTGCAGTGCCGCGCCACGGCAACAAGGTGCTCAACGTGTGCCTCATCTGCTACGACAAGGTGTCCAAGATGCAGGCCAATGCCGAAGCCGAGAAGGTGATCGACTGCGAGGCGCTGCCCGGGGAGCTGGTGACCAAGCAGCGTATGCCGCACAAGAACCACACCCCGCCGGACAGCGAGGCGGCCGATGCGCTCTTCGAGTGAGTAGAGCCCACCCCCCAAGCAGCTGAAGTCCATGTCAAGAGTCCTCTAATTGTATTTCTGACTGCAGCAATGTGTTGCCCTCGGTGGAGCTGGCCGCTGTGCTCTCGCCCACCAGCCCTGCGTGCGTTGGCGAGGCGGCCGCAGCTCTAGCTCCAGCACCAGCCACGGGCAGCGAGGATATAGATGAGAACCTAGACCGTGCAATTAGCAAGCGCTTGCAGAATCTCAAGGCAGTCGAGACGAGCGACGATGAGATACGTGCGCGTCTGTCCAATCTGAGCGGCATGCCGCACCAGAAGAACTACGATAAGAAGGACCTGCTGCTGTCCACCGACCAAAGAACCGATCAGGATAGGATCAAAGATCTGCTCCAGCAATTCATGGGCGAAACGGCACTGGATCAGCGTGTGGAGGCCGATCGCAACGATGCCATCAGCGACATTGAGAAACGTCTGCGTGCGCTGCGCGATGCGCCCATTGATAGTGTCCCAGCGGCAGCGGGGACGGGCACCAGCACAGCGGCCACGAATACGCCCAGCGACAACGAGGACGAGAACGATGAGACGGTGCTCCAGAAGATCATGAAGAAGGTGCGCGCGACTTGGTTTCACCTTGAGCAATTATGTCCAATTCAAGTTTCCGTTTCCATTTCCTTTGCAGTACGTGGCTGAGGCGCGCCTGCCCCCGGCTGCCAATGCCCTGGAGTCGGAGCTATCGACGGCCAGCAATGCGGCCATCAACGAGGAGCTGCCCTGGTGCAATATCTGTGACGAGGATGCCGTCTACCGCTGCCGTGGCTGCGACGGCGAGCTCTTCTGTGCCCCGTGCTATCGCGAGTGCCACGACGACGACGAGGACTACCGGGCGCACCTCAAGGAGAAGTACAATGCGCCGCCCAAGTTCAAGGAGAATCACTTCTAATGGCTGTTTTTGCTTATGTTGATTACTCATTACTCATTAATTTACTCTATTCCTCACCTTCTCCTCTTTGTTGTTCCCCCGGCCCACCCTCTTCAAGTAGTTCTGGATCAGTGTAGTTCAATTGTGTACATAATGCGAATGTATTAAAACTCCATATTTTATAGAGAGCCATTGGTTTAAATTACGGCTTAGACAGAGACAGAGACAGACAGAGTGTGCGAGTTAGAGCGAGACATACACAATATGGAATATGGAACTGGAAATACAATATCTTAAGGCAATTGATGGTAAACAAACATGTGTGTATATATAATCATTACATTCCTAGTAATTATAACAAAGGAAAAAAAAAAGAAAAGGCAACTTAAGCTAAATGCATATTTGATGACAACAACGCGCAGCTAAACAAAATACGCTGCTAACAACTGGCACTCAAATTAACAATATATATATATATAAGAATATTGAACTTAATAGCTTATGTATCCTATGTATACATCTATATATATACCCTACACTTGCGCATGGCCTTACTCAGCTACTACATAGATCTAAACAAAATTGGTCAAGTTTTCGTTGTGTGCGCTTACAAAACTAAATTCGTTGCGGCTCCGGATTCGGGGCTAGACCGTAATGCGCATCTTCTCCATGTACTTGGGCACCAGATGCTGGGCCGAGTAGCGCTCAAAGTTGAAGTAGTCGAAGAATTTGTCGCGATGCCGGCGAAAGAGATCCGGATTGCGGCACCAGTTGTACAGCATTTTGATTAGCGAATTGGACGTATTGTAGAGATTCTCCTTGGGATAGATCTCCGGATAGACGAGCTTGTTGGGCGCTATCGGATAGCAGCCACAGTAGGTGGCCTCCAGCATGGCCACGCCGTAGAACTCGTGGCCGGCCGTCGAGATGACAATGTCGCCGGTGAGCAGCGCCTTGATGTACTCCTCGCGCGTCAAGTGGCCAAAGTTGATCAGCTTGGCGCCCAGCTTCTGCTGTATGCCATCGAAGGCCTCGGGCATCGCCTGGTAGCTCTCGCCGCAGATTGTCACCTTGAAGTCGACCTGGCGCTTGTTCAGCTCCATCAGCACTTCGACCAGTAATTTGGGGTTCTTGTCGTGCTCCCAGCGATGCGGCCAAATCAGATGCAGGCAGTGCGGCTCCGCCGCGCTCAGCTCAGCATCCATCATGTGGCGCTTGTTGGGAAAGGCATGGAACTTGATGGGGAAATAGAGCACTTCGCACTTCTTCTCGATGCGCTCGCGTATGTGCTTCAGCTTGAAGTCCGGCTGGATGTTGAGAAAGGGCTGAACGTTGTCCAGAAAGGACATGCGATTGAAGTTCGAATTGAAGAGGACAACGTCCGCAGCAAGGCTGAAAGCAAGAGTCCAACTGGATTTCAATTGAAATTCTAATACGAATCTAGCTCGCTTACCAAGTAAGAATCTCATTTAGGCCGTATTGGCAGTCGCGCTCCTTGACCTCGCGCACCGGATAGACCAGTTGGTTCTCATGGAAATAAACGATCTTCCGGCAGCTAACCAGATCCGGACGCACACCAATCAGCTCCGCCAAATTGAGCACGGAGCTGGTGAAGAGCACTTTGTAGTCGTGTTCCGGCGGAATCAGCTGCGAGAAATACAGCGCTGAGGTGCGTGCACGCCAATGCCACTTTTTAGCGGGCAAGCTAAAGATCTCATAGTCAGCCAGATTCAAGCCTATTGATAATAAAAAATACGTATATATCTGATAAGAACGTTTCTGATTGGATTCTCCATACTCACATTCGACCAATGTGTCGATCAGCTGCTTGTGGCTGCCGCCGAAAAAGGGCTCAATAATTAATATCTGCGGCTTGGCAGACGTCATGCCTGGGCTAAGCAAGAGTTGTGCAATTAATATATGCGCTTGGTTTAACCTTAACCTTTGGATAAGTTAGCGGCACATGTTTTCCCTATAATACACTCGCTATATATGCATATTAAATGGACTACAACATATTGTACACCTGTTCAGTCATTGCTGTTAAAATTCGTTGCTCATGTAAAGCTTTTTTGACTAACTTATAGATACTAAATGGGGATTAGATGGGATTAGTTATTCCCAATAAAAGATTAATATTAAACAACAACTGTTACACATGTGCAAGTGAGACACAACACAAACAAAGCTCAGTTGGCGATGTTGCAAAGTATCGATTGATCGATATTTCAGCGAGAATTGTGGATATTCCCTACTCAATATGTCATATACCTGACAGTCGGTTGCAACTGAGTTGAAAAACTTATTAAGAAAATTATTTAATATTTTTATATTTAAGTCAGCTAGACATGTGTCGAAAGTACATTAAATATATGAAAATAAAAAATAAAATTGTAAAATTGTTTAGCATCGATACAATTAATTGTCAGTGCTGCATAAATATACGCACCGATAGTTTGAATTATCGATTAAGTGCTCGCACCACTAGCTCTCATCACGAACTCCGAAAGCGCCTGCACTAGCAAAGGTCTGTAATTCTGTTTCTCTGTGCGAAAAATTTGCAAAAAGATTTGACAAGATGACCAACGCCTGGAGAGCTGCTGGACTTACGTAAGTGCTATAAATTTGAAATATAACAAATTTAATTCATGAATTGTAAATACTATATGCTGATTGTGCTCACTTTGCGTACGTTACGTAATTGTTGTTTGCTGCATTTTATTCTAAGACACACGCACGCACAGCGAGAAAACTTCTTCATGATCTAATAAACTCTCGTTCAATGTTCGGTTCCTTTGCAGCTACATCCAATATTCCAACATTGCTGCCCGTGTGCTGCGCAATGCCCTGCGCGCCGAGCTCCGTGCCGACGCCGCTAAGCGCAACGAGACCCACGTGAAATTCACTCCATGGGCCAACGGCAGACCCGCACGTAAGTAATCGAGCAACGAGCGTATGTTGTGCAATCGAGATGCCGGAGATACCGTTATACAGATCAACAGTTCCAGCCAATAGAAACGAGCTAGCTCATTTGTGCATTATGTAAACGCAAGCTATGCACACAAGGCTCTTTGCTCCTGGCCTTGATGCCAGTCTCTCCGAAACGGTTCAACTTTTAGTTAAACATTTATTTCGTTTCTCTGTGCCTTGCAGATGAAAAGCCCTAATTGCTTCAACATTATTCTGTCAGTTTTGTAGCAAGGTGTAAGTTGAGTTTGAGTTGCCCGAAACCCAAGATATGATGCATCCGAATACTAATTAGCCAGCCTCTATCTATTAATACTTGTTCAATACCTTGAAAGCAGACAGAGATTGCATTCTCTTTCCACTCCAGACATTGCCTACGTTGTTTAACCCACTGCAAGCTGAGCCTCTATTTGTGTTTTTTTTACTAATTTTGTTACTTATATATAAATCTTTTATTTTGTACTAATCGTAGCATTTCTTTTCACAGCTCGTCAATCAGACTCTGCTTAGGCGCTACCAAGTCAACTGGCGGCCATCAGGATGCGTGGGCAAAATGTTGAGTTGTTTCCATAATTAAAATTTACGAATTAAATTAAATTGAAAACAAAACAAACAAAAAGTCTGTCGAATAATCTAATATATTGAAAGAAACGTATATTATAGTCGTGTATTCTTTCACAATAATTGCACAGAAAAAAAAAAACCAAATAATTAACACAACAGGAAAAAAGTGCAGGAAGCGGACAAAGAGTTTAAATACTTAAAAATATTTGTCCAAGACAATCACCAAAAACTGTATAAATATATCGAATCTCGGTTTCGATATCGAATCTAGTCATGTAATACGCTACTACTGTCCCTCCTGGGCAAGATTGTAGAAATGCGGCCAGGTTTGTATCTCCTCGAAGAGACGACGGCCCGGACTCTCCGTCGAATTGCACTGGCAGTGGCAGATCAGGCGATAGTCCTTGGCTATGTGGCCATCCTCAACGCCGCGCGCCAACAGATTGTGGCACATGGTCAAAGCGTGCGGTGTGGGCAGCTCGCGCATAAAGCACCCAATGAAACTGATGCCCAGCGCCATCTTATTGTAGCCCAAGGTGTGGGCGCCCACTGCCTCCCAGCCGCGCCCCTCGTATATGTTGCCATCGCAGCCAATGAGAAAATTGTACGCGATGTCATTCCAGCCGCGACTTTCGATGTGGAAGCACTGCTCGTGGAGGAGGAGTTGCATGAGTATAAATCCATGTCAAGTGAAGGCTTCGAACTTACCTGGATGTCACGTATGAGGCGCACGTTGATCGCACGCTTCTCTGAGCTCTCTGTGGCAGTGTGTGCTGTGGATTAGCAAATATATACATATCAGTTATATATATATAGGATAGTGGTCTACTTATAAGATAAAATGCTCCCTCTAGAGTTGCCTTAGGGTCTCATGGATATATATATATATATCTCTCTCTTGACAAGCTTGTGCTTTCTCTTAAGAAAGCTGCAATCTCTTGATTAAACTATTGCCTGGAAAATACATATAGAGCTATACAATACGATCATATGCATTAATTTAAGCTATACAGAGAGAGAGAGAGAGAGAGAGAGAGAGAGAGAGAGATGCCTTAAGATCTTAGGGATCTTCTACTTCACTCAATACTCTCTCTTAAGAAAGTTATGATCTTAGTTGATCTATGAGCTTGAGAAAGGCTTATATATCTATAAAGAATTGCTCAAAACTCAATAGTTACAATCTCTTAACTAAACTCTCGATGAAGGTTTATATATAGCTATATATAATCATATCTGGCTGGCTTAACTGTTTCATATTTAACATATATATATATAAAGATGTACACGTACATATAACTACGTATTTGACTGGCCGTTGCAGCTGGACGGGCGGTTCCATGGGCCTTTGGGCTAGCCAGGAGTGGCGCGGCATGATGCAGCACAGCTCTTGTGGTATTTTGAACTCTGTAAATATATGAGTTAGTAAATGTCTCTCTCTTTCTCTCTCTGTCTCTTTCTGCTTACTGTGACTATTAATAAACATATCCGCACTGACGCGCTCTTCAGACTCGTCCAGCTCCTCTCCTTCGTCATGATCTTGTTCGTTTGCCTCGGACACTTCGACGATCGATGCTTTGCGTCGCTGTCGGCGCTTGTTGCGCGGATGTTTCATATGCTCAGCGATGATCTGAATGTTGCCATTGATGTTGGTCACATTGCCGATGTGAACGTTGGTCGAGTTGCTAATGTTCACATTGCCCACTGTTTGGATGCTATTGATCGAGTTGAGCAGATCGCGCAGTGTGTCGCCGATGATGCCGCCTTTGCTGGTGCCTGCCAATGTATAAATAAATGTATATATATGTATGCATATATATATATGCATATTTACATATGTGTTGACTCACCTTCTCGCGTGCCCAGCGCAATGGTGCTGACCTCTTCGCCAGTGACATCGTCGTCATCATCGTCGTCGTCGTCCTCCTGTTCGGTAAACGTATGCTCACTGTATTTGTAATCGTCCAAGCTGTCCACCACCGATGACTCAGCTAAAGACTCCAGTTCATCCTCCTGCGAGGCGAGCCATTCCCGTGTGCGTTCTTGAGCTGCAGACAATGTGGTCAAATTGGACATGTTCTTGTGCATGCCACTTCACGATTTTTTGGTTTGATGAGCGCGTGACGTTGTCTATTAGGTTTGCGTATAAATATTATTATATATTAGAGATTATATACATACATATGTATGTGTATATAATACTTCTTTGATAAGTTAAGAGAGAAGGCCTTTGCAGATAAAAAGTGGGCGCAATTTGCGTGGTCAGCGCAGATTCTTCTATTATTCAAATGCCTACACGGTTTTTGGGAAGCACACTCACGTGGGAATAACACTAAATACTCAACACATGCAAATACTTGTTTATATCCAATTTAACATATTGTGCGAAAACAAAACAAAAGCGATCGTCATATCGCAACTAGTACGCTGATCACTGATAGCCAGCAAAACCGATATTCATATGCATAGCTTACTGTACTTTAACAAATCAATTATTTTTGATAAGATTACATTTATTAAATTAATTATTTTTACTTATCAGTTTACATATTTATTATATATTTCAAAAAGATTTTACTTACTGCAATATATTATTTAAAATATCAAGCATCTATATCGATATTCAAATCATCGGCCACTAGACTATGCACAACAATTTATTATTGTCTGCTATAATAATATGTATATCAACTATTCTTTCGAATTAAACTGATTAGATAAAATAATAATAAACATATTTGCACAAGCACACCCATACATAATTTATGCGTGTGTGTTTGTAAATTGTGAGCAGCATACTAACCTCATGTATTCGCGCCGATGTATTCACCGATGTTTCGCGCCGTTGCTAATCGATATTGCAGCGATAGTTGTCGATAGATTTTTATAGAATGCAGCGCTATCGGTCTGCCTGCGATTCGATTTCATAACCTCGTTGGCTCGGCTGGTTGTATTTTATTTACTTAAATAAGTCTTGTATTAAATTTGTAGACCGGCGAAAATGTTGACGCTGCGACGTGGAGAGCAGCTACGTGCGCGTCTAAATGCCGCCTGCCGCCGTTATCTGTCCGTCAAAGCTGAGCCCAAGGCAGTGGCAGTGGCTGATGCCGAATACACGGCAGAGCCAGAGTATCCCGTCATCAGGGATCTCTCGTACAAGAGCCGCAAGCTGCAGACGGCGGCCGAGTGGCACGAGCAGATACGCCAGCTGCCCACCGTTGAGGAAAAAATGATCAAGGTGAATATGCCGCGCTACTATGGCTACAAGGTAGTCGACCTGAACGACAACAAAATACCCTACAATGCCCTGCCGCTGACGCAACACTACACGCGCACCGTGCTGGAGGAGCTGCCGACGCCACAAGCTAAGACGGAGGACAAGAAGGATGACTTGGATGCGACTGTAAAGATGGCGCGCGACGATATCATCGAGGCATTGGAATATGCCCACGATGTATACAAGTAAGTGGAATATGTTGCTATGGATAATATTCCTAATCCAAATCACTGTTGCAGGCATCAGCTGCAGTTGATGGCAACCCCGCCGGATGCCGTCAAGCGCGAACAGCAGCTGACGCAAATCATTGTGGAGCTGGTTAACCGGTCGGCCCTGCAGGTGCTCAGTGCCGACTATGGCCACCTGAACGAGGTTGAAATCGACTACA